TGAAAAAAACCAAAAGACCCCGGGGGGGGAAATACCTGGAACGTGCCCCCAATGGATCCTTTATGCGACAACTCAAGAATTGTAATTTAACAAATACACTTTTCTACCACTTTCATAGTCCCAGCTTTCATAGTCCCAGCTTTCATAGTCCCAGCTTTCATAGTCCCAGCTTTCATAGTCCCAGCTTCATAGTCCCAGCTTTCGTAGTCCCAGCTTTCGTAGTCCCAGCTTTCGTAGTCCCAGCTTTCGTAGTCCCAGCTTTCATAGTCCCAGCTTTCATAGTCCTAGCTTTCATAGTCCCAGCTTTCATAGTCCCAGCTTTCGTAGTCCCAGCTTTCATGGTCCCAGCTTTCATGGTCCCAGCTTTCATAGTCCCAGCTTTCATGGTCCCAGCTTTCATAGTCCCAGCTTTCGTAGTCCCAGCTTTCGTAGTCCCAGCTTTCGTAGTCCCAGCTTTCGTAGTCCCAGCTTTCATGGTCCCAGCTTTCATAGTCCCAGCTTTCGTAGTCCCAGCTTTCGTAGTCCCAGCTTTCGTAGTCCCTGCTTTCATAGTCCTAGCTTTCATAGTCCCAGCTTTCATAGCCCCAGCTTTCATAGTCCCAGCTTTCATAGTCCCAGCTTTCATAGTCCCAGCTTTCATAGTCCCAGCTTTCATGGTCCCAGCTTTCATAGTCCCAGCTTTCATAGTCCCAGCTTTCATAGTCCCAGCTTTCATAGTCCCGGCTTTCATGGTCCCAGCTTTCATAGTCCCAGCTTTCATAGTCCCAGCTTTCGTAGTCCCAGCTTTCGTAGTCCCAGCTTTCATAGTCCCAGCTTTCATAGTCCCAGCTTTCATAGTCCCAGCTTTCATAGTCCCTGCAGCTTTCATAGTCCCAGCTGTGCCCTCTAGAGATAGGGCTGACAAAATATAATGGTGCTAATGTAATTTCTACACAATAGCTTTTGCAAGATCAGTGACAGAGAAGGGGGTGTAAAAGCTACGAAATCTTGCTGTTGTTATATACGGGCCGTTGTTAGTTGTTAATGTCCACTGCTTTGTTCTTTACACCTCTCTGGGCAGAAAAGGGTTTCATTCAACACACCACACCGGCCTGCATATCACCTGTATAATCTGTATAACACAAGCATTGTTCTGGAGGGGGGGGGGAATAAACATTGCTCACATCTTTAGCAGTGTGTTAATGCTAATATGTAGCTCTCTTTCTCTCTCTCTCTCTCTCTCTCTCTCTCTCTCTCAGCTACTATAACAATGAACAATCCCCCCCCCCTATCCTGGGGTTCTCTCTCTCTTTCTCTCTCTCTCTCTCTCTCTCTCTCTCTCTCTCTCTCTCTCTCTCTCTCTCTCTCTCTCTCTCTCTCTCTCTCTTTCTCTCTCTCTCTCTCTCTTTCTCTCTCTCTCTCTCTCTCTCTCTCTCTCTCTCTCTCTCTCTCTCTCTCTCTCTCTCTCTCTCTCTTTCTCTCTCTCTCTCTCTCTCTCTCTCTCTCGGAGCTGGAGAAAATGTCCTGGTTTTAGTGTATTTGGAGATTGCAGTAAACCACTAGCTTCTTTTGTGTGGGTCAGTGTTTTAGGGCTACGTCTAGTTGAAGCAGTCCACTATTTATTTGTTGTTTGCCATTTTTCGCGTGATTTCGCATGATTATTTTGCCGCATTATCACCGAATAACATTACTATAGTTTAACGCTTAGCAGATCGTTAAAACCAGATCGTTACAATCTAGATCATCAGATAAGCCAGTGTTGAGGATACAATTCAAGTTTGTTAAAGTTTCTTTATAGTAACTCCCAAAATATAAGGTTATTTCTGAACTTAAAGTAGTTGCTGTATTTATAGCATTAGCACAACCCAACTGTATTAATAGCACGACTGTGAAATGCTGGCCAATAGAGCTTGGATTTACAAGGGGTTTTACAGTTGTGTGGTATAACTGTATAAGTATATTCTTCTTCTTTTTTTTAAATTTTTTAAAAATTTTTATAAAAACCCCCATTAAGAGTTATTCGTCACATTAATGATCACCATGTTTTGAAGATTTACGAAATAAATATTTCGCAATAGTGAGACAAAATCTTATTCAAGTTTTCATTCGTTCATGATCCTGCACCTGGTCTCCCAAAATAGTCGGTGAAACTGCTGTCTGATCATTTAATGTGTTCTAGAAACGTTCAACTCGTCTATTTTCTAATTTGTGTGCTAAGCTGTGAAGAGACTCATAACTTGAAACAGCATGTTTATTGTTTACACAGTTCTGTAAGACAGTCTCTCCGAACATCTGCCACCAAACCCGCTATATCCCCCTCTGCAAAGTTATATCCCCCTCCCTCTGCAAAGCTTTATCCTGATGTGTCTCGAATGTGCCGTATCACTCTTTGTTCCACTTATTAAGGCTGCATAACGCGTGGTTACTCCACCCAAGCTACTTCACAGGGTCAGGTGTCCTGCTCCTCCGCAAAGTTATCTCCTCCTCCGCAAAGTTATCTTTCCGGACTGCTTTATAACTCTGCTGCTAATTTACCTTAATAGCTTAATGGGGGAGGCTTGACATGTCCGTCAGATGAAGAGGGGGGTAAATAAGGGAGAAGATGAAATAAATATCCTGCCTAGATCACGACAGGACCTAGAAGGGGGATCTGGCGGGCCCCACCTGTTGCACCTCACTTTTCAGCCACCTCGCTAAATTTTGTCTCAAATTATTACACCGGTACGTATATAGCAGGTTTAACGTTTACCTAGTCTGAGATTGTAGCTTTTTGTTTGGTGGAGGTTATACGCTCAGAGGAGGAAACTTTCACTTTCACTTTCTCTTTCTCTTTCAGTTGTTAAATGAGGAGCTATCCGGGAAACCGCTCATCATTATTATCATTTGATTGTAAGGACATTTTCTAATTGCGGTATTAATAACGGAGTTTTCAATATACTGGTGGTCCTATTTTTACGAAAGAGTTGCTGTATAATAGTAAACAGCTGTTGAGTTAATGTACACTGGGGCTCCTATTTAACATGCCCCCCCCCCCCCCCGGCCCCCCCCCCCCGGCCCCTCCCCCCCCCCGGCCCCTCCCCCCCGGCCCCCCCTCCTGTGCTCTTTATTCAGCGCTATATCGTGTCCCCCCCGGCCCCCCCCCCCCCCCGGCCCCTCCCCCCGGCCCCCCGGCCCCTCCCCCCTGTGCTCTTTATTCAGCGCTATATCGTGTCCTTCTTTTAACACTGGTCGATTAGGGCCATTTCTGTTTAACCCATTAGGGACGATAGGGTCGTTTACGACCCACCTTTTCTAGAGGCTATAGAGGACAAACCAAAATACTAAACGCCACGAATCTTTCGCACATATGCTCAAAATTTATTGGGCTACATTATTGACTTTCCAGTCGAGACCCAATTAATCATTAACAATTAAATAATTAGACTAATTAGTCGTCATAATTGGAAAATATTTCACTTAACTTCTTGCCTTGATTGGGACATTTAAACTTTATGTAGGCTTATTTTTTTGAGAACAAAATAGTTGCGGGCAACAATTTCCTTGAGACAAATGAAAAGCCCATGATAATCAAATGTTCACAAACAGAGCTAGACGCTGTTTACTAACTGCGGTCGCATACGACCCACTCGTCCGGGTCGCAAACGACCCATCACGGTTTTTCGGCTTTAACTTCTGAAACAAAGACGTTAGGATAAAATAAAAACTGTAGCATAAGTTAAAAACATATGATCAATACTGTGTGACTCTAACTTTTTAGAAATAAAGAATTTGGGTCATTAACGACCCACTCGGCTCACTTGCTTATTACTGCATATGTCCATGTAACTTCTTGAATTCAGCCTAAAACATGACATCATAAGCGCAAACTCGCCTCTCAGCAAGTGATTATCATCATAAACTGCGAAAAATCGGTTAAATGGGTCATTAGCGACCCACTAGGACCACAAAATTGATAAATTAAATACAATGTTGTCAAACTTTTACAAATATTAGTTTAAAAACATGCTATATCTTGGTCATTACTCCTGTACGTTGATTTAACTTCTTAAATCGATCAACTGGGTCAATAACGACCCACTCGGAAGTTGAACCACGTCATTAATTAATAATTATCATGCTGTTCCACCATCAAGAAAGACACTCGTAGGTCTTAACTCCACACAAACCACGGTGGCTGACAACTAGCCCTCCTGAGTCCTGAGATCCAGGGCCAACTGAAGGGCAGTGATCATCACTCATCAAAAAGCTGCGAGAATAACACGACTGCATATGCCTGGAGTTGCGTCCTGACTATGGTGCGTGGAAATCTGCACCGAAAGGACCGTGGCCGTGTCGCAAAAGAAAAGGAGATCGGCCCTCGTTCCTAACTTGCTAGGTAATAGCCATACTGTTGTTGTTGCTTATTAGATTCTGTTACCTTTTTCGTCAATTTCGAATCTTGGTAAACGACCTGCTACAACCGCTTGAGACTCAGGGTCCCACGGTGATCAGATCATGTCACTCAAGAAAAATCCCCTGAA